TAACAAGTTAACTATTACACACTGCAGAAAATGAATACACTTTGCATACATACACACTCTACATGCATTTTGTTACACATCTCCCTACACAGCTGCGACCTGAAATTTGGGTAGTCTCCTTTCTAAGTTCAAAACACAACCAGGAAACCAGGCAAGACAAGAGTGACTGAAAGGGTATACAGAAACTACATGATCAGCTGGAATAACTCTCAATATCCACCAGTAAAACTAAAGCATCATGGAAAAAGCGTGTTTTGTAATTTCCAGAAATTCTCTGTATTAACTTACCACCTCCTGCAACTCCCAGTATCTTTCTTCCTGTTTTACAACAGCTTATCTTTATCAGTTACCACATAAGTCACCATGCTGCTGCCATATAAAAATTAACCATAAAATTTGCATATGGAAAGATATTTCCAGCACAATTCCCACAAAAAAGCATATAGTTGTTTCTACAATAAAGAACACTGTATAAATCACATTCTTTATGTCATTGGAACTACTTCCTTTTTACAAGGCCATTGGAAAATAGGCTAAAATGATGAAAACAGTTACAATGTCCATGAGTTGCTGTGCTTTTCCAAAACAAGTATTTCAGCATTTATCTCATGACACAATTAATATCCCATGCCAAAGCTGGTATTTTGGTTGCATCCTACACAAAATACCTCATACAACTTGAGAACTCAGTATTAATTTTTCCAGATCCCTTTTCAATTCCTGTTTATCTTGGACACCCTGCAGAAAACTTCAATTTTGAGAGTCTTTAGTGTAAATGGGTTGTTCCAGCTATAAATTATTTGCAGATGGCTTTGGAAGTACTACAGTAAGCACACAGGCCAGCAGCATAGCCACGTAACTATTTATACACCATCATACTTGGAAACTCTTCTCACAAAACAGAAGTCCACTCTGTAGGGTGCCGTACAGATAAAGGTTATTTTTGTCCTTAAAAGCTTACATTCAGTATAAGGCAGAAAAAGAAAAGCAATACTGACATATGGACAAGGATAGAAAGAAACTAAGACAACAGCTTCATAACAACAGACACTGGTTTTGCACACCAGCAGTCTACCTCAGCTTCCTTTGAATGTCATCTATTGCTTGACTAACTAGCTCTGCAGAATAGGAAGGAAACAACTACACTCCAGATCAACAACATCCCACAGTGGCAACAGAGCCTCAGGAAGTGAAAGCCTACTGTCTTCAAACTAATTGCAGAGCTCAAGCAGCACTTCAGTGACAAAAGACCAACGCTGGACTGTCAGCAATGTTTTATGCTTCCTCTTGTTATTTTGGAAGGCCATGCTCATACCCTCTCTCAGCTGAAAAAGAATCATTCAGCATTTGGATGCATGAAAATACTAGCTATCCTGGGAACAATACAATATATTATCTGAAAGACCGAAAGGAAAGCTCGTGGCAAAGCTGGATGCTTTTAAAGAAATATCTGTCTCCCCCTAGAAGCTAGGTATCCCACATTATTTCCAAGACAAAGAGGATACCCCCTTCAACAAAAGCTGGGTAGTAAAAATCATCTGAGTAATTTTATGAATAATCAAAGAGGATACCTCTGCAAGACCACCCGTCTAATTCAAGATGATGTCAGTCAAGACCTGTTTGGGGAAAATTAACTGTTATTTTTTTAGACACAAATTAACATAATGAGATAGAAAGATCATCTGATATTAACTTTGTTTCTGATAAATCATTGGAGAAATGGGAATGGTCTCATTCATTCTCTCTCACCTCAAGTTCAACCACCTACCATTTAATTCACAGATATTTGAAAAGAGCTTCCAGAACTATCATAAACCAAATAATACTCCTAGAGCTTACTGTATCTCCATTTTGGTCTATTCTAGATCATATTTAATGCAAAACCATAGATGTCATCAGATTACAGGCTTCCCCAAAAAATCTGAGTAGGGTATAAGATTTCTTTTTGTTCCAGCCAGAGTTGAAATACTATTCATATAAGTGTGCTGTTTGTGCTGGAGCACTATCAGAATAGTTTCCTAGAGATTTGCAACCTGTAATAACCTTTGTTATAAGACCCCCATAAGAATAATTAAAAATGCAAAGTTTCATCCCCTGGCATTCATACTAGAACTCACTGCTAATGAAATTCTTTTTCATATCACTTTAGCTGTATGACATGGAAGAGATCCACATCTCTAGTTAAAAGGCAAGTAACTTACAGCAAAAGAAAGAATAGGAAAAAGTAGGGTGAAAATTGGGAAAACATGCTTCTGGATGTCTGAAGACATTAATTCTGAAAATATGCTTGGTTCTCTGCTACCTTTAAAGCTTAGGAGAACAGAAAAAACTGAAGCTGTCCAGACAACTGCAGAAACACTGGTCAAGTACATGAAAAGAACACTAGTGGACTGAGAAGACTAAAATGTAGTTTAGTCAATACAGTAAACTTAAAGAGGAAATTACTTGTGCACGGATTTACTGCAACAGACTTGTCATTGAAAAGTGAGGTAGATCGGTAAAAATTAATTTGTACAATGTGCTTCAGACAAGCCTACTACAGGGACTTTGTAGAAACAAGCTCTAAGGCAATAAAAGAAGATTCAAAGATAAGTGGAAATACTATTGCTTAAACCCCTGACAAACAGATTCCACAAAGGAGACAGTCAACAAGAATATTCAACAGGAGGGTACTAACATCTTTATCTCAGCTGTGACTCACTCTTAAGTAACTTTTATTTTCTTAGGAACCCCAATAAGTAAAATGAAAACCCCATTCACAGAGCAAAACCATAAGGAGAAGGCTGTCATTCTAATTGGATTTTCTTTATATTGACAACTCCTTGTCTTAGGACACAAGAAGAAATAGAGGCCCAAATTAACTTTTTTATAACAAAGAATATAACTGTGTTCAAGCAGGGTAAAGGAAATATTCGTGTGCAAAGGAGAGAAGAAAAACAAAATACAAGAACGCAACCTTGCCATCCCTGCTCACAAGAAACTGTTAATGGACCTCCTAGTCATGACTATAAACTTTATGTAAATTGATACAACAGTCCCAGTTCTATATCCATGTCAACAGGAACTGTATCACCATTTATGCCAGTGAGAAACAGTCTCACTATTTGTTTAAAATTGCACTGATACTCACTCTAGCAAAACTCAATTGATACATTACATATTTTACACACTACTTCCAAAACTTCAGCCTTCAGAAAGCACTGCAAATATATGATTGCTCTGTCTTTAAAAAAAAAAAAAAAGCAAAATGGAAGTGCTGTTTTCGTTTCCAGTTACGCTGAAATATATGATTGCTCTGTCTTTAAAAAAAAAAAGCAAAATGGAAGTGCTGTTTTCATTTCCAGTTACGCTAAAAAGGTTAGCCATATTATAAATGCTTCTGTTCAAGATAACGCTCTCTTGTGTCTGTCATTAGTGGTTCACCACTAGCTTCGGAATCTGCAAAACCCTGTATACACAGACCTGAAAAAGTCCTACCCCAATAAAAAATCCTAAGCCCAATAAAAGCTATTTTACATTCATAAACATTTAAATTCTCAAAAAGCCTTCAGGGACAATAGTTACTCTCCACAGTTTATAATCAAGAATACTTTCTTTCACAAGTTCTCTCACCATCTAAGTTTTTTTTATGTCAACAAACACAGTTTAATAACCAGTCCCCCCATCAGTCTCTTCTTATTTATTACAGTAGAAACTTATGCAACTGGAAAAATACTTTACATAGTGTCACAATTTATATGTTCATTTAATGTGTGAGAAATTCATAGTATTTCTGACACGTAAATGAAGTCTGAACTCAAAGTTGCTTACATATTTAACTGGTTTAGATATCTTCAACAATACAACACCTGCAAGAGCAATGTGCATGTTATAACGATTACACTATTAAATTCTCTCTGCTTTTCAAAACAATTAAAAATGATACATGATATTCCAAACTAAAGAAGGCAGCGCAACAAGATTTGACCACAATTTTTTGATCCCTGAATCCACCTCAAACTCACTACATCCCTTTGTCACTGTTGGATAATGCTGTTTTCGAGTAAAAATAAACATACACACACTTTGAACTTTCTAGTTCTTCATGTATCATTTCAGTCTTTGTAGTAAAACTACGCATTGATAAGCCAAATTAGTAAGATTCTATGAAGCTAACATAAAAAGCACTAAAATCACAGACGAAAGCATCTGAAATGTGAAGATCATTTAAGTCATAAGAAAACCTTTCAACTTAATATTTGTATTTAAGACCTCTCAGGTGAAAACTAACATTTTCGCAAAGGGAGCATGTAACAGTGTACCTACACTGCGTACACCAGTACAACATAGATATAGCAACACTGCAGTGTAGAGAGACCAGGGCTAACCCAGATACCAAAAGGCATCTACTCACAGCACCGTAGCCAAATAAGACTACGTGTATACTTCCACATTACTGATGCTAAACCAGTTCTGGTACCAAACACAGTCATTTTACAACTACAGTAGCTATACCATGCACCACACTATGCAATGTAAGCATATCCTACAGAAAAACATTGTCTCAAACCAAGTGAAACTATGGAAATAAGTATCTCAGAACAAGGTATGATGATGTTTTTTAAAACCTATATATTTACTACCTCTTACACAAGAAAGATCTTCACAAATTGACAACATAACCATACACAAGAATTCCCTGCTACTATTAGTAATTAACACAACCCTACAAATACACCAGAGCAATCCAGAAACACAAGCACAAAAGGAAGAGATTATTCAAATACTTACTACAGCTTTAACAAATACTGCTTATTTGGAGATTCAGGCATACAGATACCAGCTTTTTATTATTTTAAAGTCTTAATTTGAATCGCAGAACAATTTTGAAGCTTTAGAAGGCGCAAAAGAGTCTAAAAGAACATCCCTTTATTTCTCTAAACAAGAGTTACCTTACACTGTACAAGCTTTTCTGCAGGACTGCTACTGAATCACAATTGTTAATTAATGATTTAACTCACCTGGCCTGGCTGGGGGGATAAACAATTAATAACCTCCTCCAGCATCACTGGTATGTGCAATCTTCCAAAAGTATTTTTTTCTGTACTTTGAGGCAACTCTTTAGTTTCACAGTTCTGGACAGTTTTTTCCTTTAACTCACAGTCAGAAAGCTTTTTTGCTGAAGAATGGATCCGTCTGGCTAAAGTAGCCACGTTTATTGAATTCAGTTTTAAGTTGTGAAGAAACAAACACTTGTAAACTTGGCAGAGACACCGAGATAGCATTTTGGAGTTGATCAACCTAGAAAAACAGTACATGTCAGGAATTACTTTGAAACAAAAATATAAAACAGTAGGTTTGTTTAAAAAGCAAAGTGGAAATGCTGCAAGTAAAGCATTACACAGCTCAGGACGGGCAGATTTATAGATATGTCAGTAAAGAGTGAGAAACTCTAACTTGTTTTCAGAATTTTCAATGTCATCTACCAATCAATCATATTCAAGCAGCAATGGTTTTCCTTTCATTAGGAACACCTCTTTCGCTTTTCATTGCCAGGATTCTTGACAGCATTACAACATCCCAGAGATTAAATAAAATGACTAACAAAACCTGAGCACAAGAGAACAGTGACTTTACTTTCAAATTGTTCCCCACAGTTTTGCCAAACATAATGAGACACTTGCTCTGAATAGCAGCACTCTGGCTACCAAGACTTCTGTATTTCTAATTAAAACAGGAATGGACAAATCAGATACTATAACCGTACTTAAAATGGTGCTATAGTGTTACACGTGTGGCAAATGTATTGTTTTCATCATGTATTACATCTTGTAATACCAAATAATTTGAGCACAGCCAGAGGCAAGAATTCTCCAGCATAACTAACTGAAATAACACTCTAAACCCTGGAAACAGAGTGATTAGCTATGTAGTTTGCTTTTTAACTACATGGAAAAGTGATGATTTTTCCTCCTGTCCAAAACACTCCAGAACCAAGTCAGTAGCCTACCAGCAGAAGGCTGCTTAACTGAAGCAAATTTTTACCTTCCATAAAAAAAAAGTTTAACATAGGTCGTAATAAGGCTTTATTTATAAGATGATCCGCTTCTCCTCATGTAGCTGCAGCCTTCTGTAATACTGTATTGCATACTCTCTCCTGCCAGGCAGTAAAGTTGCAACCTTTGACGTAAAATCATTCAAGAGTCATCCTACATTCACACCGTTAGCAGAAAAGCAACCTTATTTTAACTATTTGCTTTTTATTACAAGCTAGGAATTACCTAGCAAAAGGCTTCAAGTATTTTGTCCACATAGATAAGAACATGCTGAGTTAACACCTCTGGAAAGTTACCCTCCAGATAATTTAAGCCTCAGGTGGGCAGTATTTCCCCTTACCTTCAATTTGGAGGCATGCACAATTCTACAACCTTGCACAGACATACCATAGTACTGAGGTTTGGCAAAAAACCGCAATGCCTCTACAGAAATTGTCTGAACAGAGAGAAGACTAACACTCATCATCCCACTCACACTGCCCTACACTGATACGAACCCAGGAGGTGCTGTTAACACCAGGGACGCAGAACACTGCTTACAAACACCCTCATTCTACACAATAGGGGATGTTTTCCTTAGAAGTGAGCAGAAAGCGTAGTTTCTTGTAGCAGGAGTCTTAAGTGGCATTCAGGCAGAGCCTAAGGGAGCCGCCTGCAGAGCGGGACTTGCACTGAAGCAGGCGGTAAAGGCAGCCAGCGAACGAAAACCCAAGCCCATAACACCTTCCCGGAGACGACCGGTTAAGCGTCACGCAGCCCGCACCTCAGCGCAAGCCAGGCCCCACAGCGGTGCACGGGGGAAAAAGGCTGAGGGCTGTTCCCCACTCCCACCCAGGACACAAGGGGCCGCCCGCCAGCGCCGGGGGGCTAAGACGCCCTCACCCTGGGCTCTGCCACTGCCCCTCAGCCCCTACTCGGACAACGTCGTTCCCCCACGCATACACACACTGCACCTCCTCTCCACTCCCTTCCCCCCAGGCCTCCCACTCCCCCCCA